TTCAACTTTTCTGGTGAAAACTGTATAAATTTAGACCATTATTCTGATGGCAGACGGACACAATTTCAGTGACTGTCTTTGGCTGATAAGTCTTCAATTTCCACCAATTCAGTCTCTGCCTAGACTTAGCCTTGATTATATTGTGCATGGCTACACACTACAGCCATCCTGCAGTTACTGCTGGGAATGAATAAAATCCAAACTTTGTCATTTGGATGTTTTATGCTTCTTGTTCTGCTGATTATTACATTCCTGCAGTCAAGCTTGACTGAGCATTTACATGGCAAAAAAAAAACAAAATCCATATATATTTCACAAATCCTTTTCTGATATGTTATTCTCTGAGGTTTAATTCGCAAATTGTTACTCGGCGTGCGAGCTGCGCAAACTCTGAATAACGGTTTATTGAAAACTGTTCAGAACAGTATTATCCTCCCTAATACAGAAACACTCCTTCACATGGAGAAATGTGAAAAGTGAGCAATGCCACAAAGCTTGAAACAACATGCACTTTTAATGATAATCCTCTTTTTTTTTTTGCAGCGACGTCTGTGGAATACAGAGATAACAGTGGCACAGTTTGCCTGATCGACATCATAGCCGAGGGCATTGTGTCAGCCGCAGAGTAGTGGAAGGTCCGTGTCTCCTCCTCTATCAAGATTAAAAGTGATGATGGCTGAGACGGAGAGAATGGCTCCGAAAATGAAGCAGGAAGGAGCCGAGAGAATGGGGGGGAAGAGCGACTGAATGAGGGGAATAAAGGAGAGATTTAATGATATCTTTGAGACGCGTACGCACCAACGTCAAGCCTCATGAATGTGTTTTTGTTTTTGTGTGCACCTCAAGGAACGTGTTTTTTTTTCCTCAGCTCGATGATGCTCAAAGATGAATGCATGGGTGCACACACACACACACACACAGATACACTCACATAGGTGTAAAAATACACAGGAGCTGATAAACACGCGCAACCCCATCCTGACGATGTGCTCTTGTCACACCCACACTCAGATTAACTGACGCATATCTGAATCTGTGACTCACACAAGGAGACTAAAACCATGTTTATATATGCACAACATTGATGTATTCATTTGAACATCTCCCGCATTCTATTTCACAGCAATTTCACAACGAGTTTTCTGAGCCCGGATTCTTTTGCTTGAAGTATTTTGGATCTAAGATAAGACCCTACAACGAGGAGACAAATGATTCTGACAGGAGTGTGCCAGAAAAAGGCCTCCTTATGAGAAATTCGGCATTCAAAACGAGTCGCCAGCTTTCATGGGGAGGAGCTTTCATATGTGCACAAACAAAATCTTCTGCTTCAGATGAATATTTAACAGAACAAAAAGTTATTCTTGCATCCGCAGCATTCCAACGTGCTACAGTAAATTTCTCACCTGAAACAGTAAAGGAGCGAAGGCTGGGGAGAGAAAAATCTAATTTGCTGCATGTTATTAATCCAAACTGTGAAAAAAGACGCCATCTCTAGAGATACGTAGCAAGGCTTTAACGGTACACAGACTTGCACTGAAAATCTTTTGGCATGCATGTGATTTAAACCTCCACGTTTCCCATCTTGCAATTTAGCAAAGGTCCACATGTTGTTGGTTCAGCCCATTTGCACAGTGCAGCCTTGAACAGAGACAAACCAGAATTTGAAGACCCTCCACTATAAATAAAGTCTGTCGTTTGGGAAGACAACCGTTTCAAAGGGAACTACAATGACAGACAAATTGGTAGAAAGCTACACCAGTATTGTCCAACTGACTCATTTAACCTGAATGTGGGACAAGAAAAAATAAATGGGTGCAGTGCAAACCCAGCTCCCTGTAGACGGACCAAAGCGATAACAAATGGCAAAGGTGTTTTAATAGCAGCAGGTAGTTTGTTATCAAGAACACAAGTTTTAAACATAAAGTAATCAAGCCCCATTATGACGATCCCTCTTGTCTGTATTTCAGTGCCGTGCTAAGCTAGTCTGACTCACTGGATGCAGGTGGCTTCCCTTTTCCTTCCACTATCTGTGTGCTACCGTTTCTAAAATCCACTCCACTCCAGGAAACAACAACAATCTCCAGGCTAGATACCGATCACACTGAAAAGTTCAAGGTTTGCTGGAACTGGTATTAAGCAGCAAGAGAGCTCTACTGGTGTTTATTATTATTATTATTATTGTTGTTGTTGTTGTTGTTGTTGTTGTTGTTGTTGTTGTTGTTGTTTTTAATGACCCTGCATGCAAATGTTCCACCACAACAATTCACTATTTTGAGGGAACATTGATGCTTTGCTAAGCTCTGCCTGTGATAACTGTGATTGGTTTAAAGACATACAACCGACAGCAAAGTGACACTGCCCGACCACCATCTAGAACAGAACAGGCTGGTGAGACTGGTACCAACCAGTACCGAGCTCAGTGGTGCATCTCATCAGTTTGGTAAACAATGAAGCAGAGAGCCAAACCAACACTTACCTGTTCTCAGCCCTGGTTTCATGGCCAGATGTCATTACATCTGCTAGTAAATACATTTATTAGTGAACCATTCCTTCTGTTTACCTCCGGACATTACAGGAATCCTTACACCAAAGGCCTCATTTTACCACCACTCAGAGTGTTTTCTGTGAGTTAGTTTCAAACACAGCAGGTTTACAGCTTATGCACAACCAATTTCAATAAATGTGAAGCAGCGTTTTTTTTTTTTGTTTTTTTTTTTTACCACTCAAAGATTCTGAACGACTAAAGATGGCAAATAAACACTCCTCTGTAATAATTACAGATCTACTGTATATTGTTCAGCTGTTCTCTGCAGCTGTGGCTCAGCAGTAGAGAATGGTTAAGTCCATTCATGTTCTACTGTAGGGGGAGAAAAAGTGCTTTGGTTTGTTTGTGTTGCCTAAAACCAATTGTAATCCTCTTGGTCAGTGCTGAAGCCAGAATGCAGTGACAGTGGCCCTGTAGGAGAGTGCCATGGGGGAACTTGCTTTGATAGACCATCCATCCATCATCTATACATCGCTTAATCCTCACTAGGGTCATGGGGGGCTGGAGTCTATCCCAGCTGACTCAGGGTGAAGGCAGGTTCACCTGGACAGGTAACCAGTCTATCACAGGGCTACACTTAGAGACAGACAACCAAGCACACTCACATTCACACCTACGGACAATTTACAATCACCAATTAACCTCAGCATGTTTCTGGACTGTGGGAGGAAGCCGGAGAACCCGGAGAGAACCCACGCTGCACGGGGAGAACATGGAGACTCCACGCAGAAAGATCCCGGGACGTGAACCGGCGACCTTCTAGCTGCGAGGAGACGGTGCTAACCACCGAGCCACCATGTAGCCCTTTGATGGAACATGTCTGGACAATTAAACTTTTTCCACACCCAGTGGGTAAACATGCAAAAATGTAAAAACAGCAAGATTTGTAAACACCAGTCTTTGCAGATCTTTACAACCGTAAGAGCCAAGCAGGCCTGACTCTAAACTTGCCATCTTCACAGAGGAGGTTGCAGTTGTTTCCTACAGCAATGATAAGTTTAAAAAAGGTAACACACTGATAGCAGAGGGGAAAGAAAACGCCATGTAAAGTACACAGCCAATGGCAGGCTTACACCAACAGTCCATAGAGTAAGACCAGTTGTTCAGTACAAAATATAAACAGGAAGCACACTATGGAGACGTAGAATCTTTGCACAGGTGTGTTCAATGTAGTATTTCTTACTGAGGGAAAGGTGACAATTAATTAAAGTACTGATTTCAGGTGATAAAGCTCAGGACAAGTAGCATGTCATTAAATGGGCCAAGGAATGTTTTCAGCACCAAAACCACACCATTATACCATCTGTAATACTGATAAAATCATTTTGTGTTCGATTTTTAAAACTTGTGCACACCACAAACACAACTTCACATGTGTGCTGTTAGAGTGGTTCTTTAGGGGGAGACGTGTCAAAACAAATAAAACCGAAACTATCCAGCCAATCACGACCACACATTCCTAGAGAACAAATGAACATGATAAAAAAATGAACAAACTCTGAAAGTAAACCTACATGCAAATCAACTCACCGTGACTGTTGCAGCGCGACGTCTCCACCAGCCTGTTGTCCTGGTCGTAGCACACCATGGCCTGGTAGCGATAGCCCTGGCCACACTCCTTGATGTCTCCTTGAACCTTCATTCCCAGGATGCTCTCTGCTTTGCCTCCGTCAGGCAGGATGCAGTCTGACCAGTTCCCCACTGGCTGGGCATTGTACTTGTCACAAGGGCAGTACTGCGTCTCGCTCAGAGGGTACATCTGTGTGTTCTTGCACTTGTCTTTCTTCTTGCTTCTCCCTGAGGAGTTCAGAAGGACAGAGATGAACGGAATCCACGCGTCTGCTGCCGTCTGCAGATTTCTTTCTCTCTCAGGCTGAGGTTTCGTCACGATATGCTGAGGCTACTCTCAAGGTCTTGTTTGGCTTCGTGTAGTCAATGGAAAAAAGGGTAGACTGCACAGGAGCTGCTGTCCTCCCATGCGTGCGGGATACATGATGATAGATTACATCGGCAAAATAGTTTCAAGCAGAGTGCACTTTTACTGGAACAGCTTGATGCTTTATTTCCTCACACATGCCAAGCATCGCTAATCATATCACCGCAAAGAAATGTGTTTTTCTTGAGGCAGTGTATCATTAGGAGTTGTTTCCAAAGCAAATACGGAGAAATTGCTTGAATGAGTGTCTTTCTGACTACATCGGGCATCTTCACCTCCAGTTTTTTGGGGGATTTCAAATATTTTTTAGCATCTGGACCACAGCTGGTTGCTGTTAATGGCGCAATTAACAACGTCTGCAAATGTCTGCAGAGGTCAGAGTGGCTGACAGGAAGCAGAAAAGTATAATTTTGCTCTTTTTAAAACCCCCTTTGAGAAAGCTAGATTTGTGTCTTGGTAAGATTTACTAAAATTAAGAAGAGACACAGTCGACTGTTATGTGTTAGAACTTTAACATGTCGCTAACAACTTTTCCCGAGTACAGATGTGGGACTCTGGATAAAACTACACCGCTACCTCTCCTGATCTAAAGTTAAGAACAATTAAACTGCATCTTGAGAGACTAATTATATGCATTACACGCCCTTTCTGCTGTTTTACACTTAAGTGAACGGGTCAAAATGCACTTCACTTTAACATGAGGGGAAAACAAAAGCCTCTTGAATCCCCTCTCGCGCAGTTTCAAGTTGACTTTTCCCCCCCAGTACGCTCATGTGGAGCTGCCTTAATGCATTACACCACCGTTTTTATGACAGTGATGCAACTCCCTGGGGACAGCGAGGGACGGGCTGAGGAGTTCTCTCAAATTGGTTGCTTTAATCCCACGGGAACATTTAGCTGGCAACAGCTATCCGAGCAGAGCGATGACCTTGTGTTTCACGTCACCACTTGGCTCATGAAGAACTGTCCACCAACTTAACCCTTTTAAAATGTGTCACCAACGTTAAACCACAACGCAAATAAGTTTGTCCACAGCAATGCAGCCTGAGTGTCTGTGCGCTCACCTATCAATGCCCTCTTTCTGGTGCGGACCCCCACACAGTCAGCTGTGCAGGACGAGAACTTGGACCAGTTGGTCAGCTGGCAGTCATCCTGGCAGGGGAGCTGACAGCGCTGAGTGATGGCGGGCATGGCCTTGGCGAATTTCAGACACTCGCTGATGTCGGCCTGCGTCCCGTCCAGCTGGCGACAGGACACAGCTGGAAGAAGGAGAGGAAGTCGGGTCAGAAACGCTCCATTTGAATATTAAGCACGGTTTAATGTTTTATTGATTCAACAAACGGATTGATAGTCACAACCACGCTACGATTTACTTACTAAAGATGAATTTTCATGGAACTAGTACTAATACAGATCACCATACATGGTCTGCCAAACACATAGTGGGATGCCAGTCTCGTGTGAATCAGCATCTCTGTGATTTGGGTTTTTTTTTTTTTGGTTATGTTTTTGCAACGCTTTTGGTGTTTTTTTTGCACCTCCTGCTTGAGAATTACAGATGCTGCATTGGCAGTTATGAAGGAAGCTTTTTGGGTGCAAATTCAGAATATTGTACGTGCATGGAACACTTTTCTGTCTTTCAAGATGCTCAACGTTTATGCAGATAATGTCAGGAAATTTGAACGCACTTCACCAAGTAGAGATGTGGGGGGGTAACGTCAAAATCACACGAGGTCCCAAGGATTTTATGGCCTTTATTGGATAGAGCAGTGAGAGAGAGAGAGACAGGAAAAGTGGGGGAGGACATGTGGGAAAGGGTCATGAGCGGGATTTGAACTCATGACCTCCACATTGGGACTGTAGCCCTGCACATAGGACGCCAGCTCAACCAGGTGAGCTATAGCGGTCCTAGTCCCATGCGAATAGGGCAAATAAAGCAAATACCTTCATATTTTGGTGGTGGAGTCAGATAAGAAGTTAATGTAAAGCCAAGCCCAGTAACCAGTTAGCTCAGGTCAGACAGCTTTAAGATCATGACTTAATATTTGTTTCAGTCGCCGTATCGAAGCAGTGATTTGAGAGGTGGATGCAGGCAGATTTAGTTACTGGTGGACAGAGACAGGCGAGCGATTTCCCCCATTTCCAGTCTTTATTCTGCCCAGCAATCATCTGCACGATCATATTTAATTTACCGATATGAGACTGATTTCAATCTTTTTATCCGTCTCTTGATATGAGAGCAGGCTGGATCCAAAACTGATTGCAGAAGTATTTCCTCTTCTCATGTCGTATTTTTACATGATGATAGTGTTAAAGTGGCATTCCAGTAATTTGCTATTGCACTTCCATCAATACTTCGATAGAGAAATGATCTCAGGGAAGACGAAGCCCTTTCAGAGCCACATCACCACCGTCTCATCGCACGACTGTTCGCAGCCCAAGAGCTCTTTGTGACAAGTAAAATGGCTTTGATATGCAAAATCATCGGAGTGCCCCTTTAATTAAGACATCCCAAAACTTCTTCCTCTTCTTCCTGCTGCGCCGCATAACTTCAAATAGAGACTTAAAGAGGCCAACGACAGAGTGGATGAAAAATAGATCAGTGCTGTACAATTCAGATTAGATCTCACGGGGGGTTTAATAACAATTATGAGAGGAGAAGACACAAATGCATCTGTACCTCCACTGGTTTGATGCCCAGAAGTTAATTTGTTTTGGACCGCATCACTCTTTGTTCTTTCAATAAAGGGTATTACTCGTGTTGCTGCAATATTTCATTTTCTCGTGATGCAGACATTCTGCAGGGCTGTACCTTCGTAGAGAAATCAATCTCTAAGCACATTTTTTTTTGCTGAACCCCCGTGGGCATTGGTATTGGTTTGAAAAGCCTCCGTCTGAGGTGTGTGAGGTCAGGTCTTTCCTTGTATATGTGTGTGTTCGTGCACGAGACAGAGCGAGAGAGAGAAAGAACAGCACAATCTCTCAGCCCTGTGTGTTTAATAGTGCCACCACAGCGTTTTTTTTCCTCCGCTGTCCAGGTAAACAACATCATACGCTGTCAGAAAGCCCAGACTAGAAAAGACAGCGCGTCTCATTTGGTCTAAGTCAACGACAAAATGATTTCTGCCATTAAGGAGCGACGGAGGTGTGAAGGCAAGTGCAGGAGGGTCTGGACGTCAGGTGTCACATGGCATCAAATCACTGGAAAAGCTGCACAAAATCTGGAGAATCTGGAACAGTACGGCGAGCCAACAGTAGACCTTTGAGCATTTTCATGTATAAACTGACTCTTCCGTCCACTAATGCAAGCTAGCGAAGAAGAAACAGAAATATAAGCACTAATAATGGCTTTCCATAGGAGCTGGAACATAATGAAATTGATCATTCTGCGTGACCCCCTGAAATTGGATTTTTATGAAAGCCTCCCAGGACTATATGGTACAACCATTCTCTATAAAACGGCAAGACGAAATATGCTTTTAAAGAGGTAGAGCCACCACTCCTTTAAAGCACTTGTCACTTATGCGTGAAGCCCATACGAAGAAGGGATGGGCTGTCGCCTGCTATAGGCAAGGTGCAGCATCTTCTCCTAAATTTCAACAAGAGACATTCGATTAAAATTGTATGACAAGAGCCTGAGGTGGAAAAAAAAAAAAAAAAAGCCAGAAGTGAAACAACCCAAACTGTCAAACGAGTCTCAAGAGGCACCTGGTGAGTTGTGAACACGTTTCCTTCCCAAACTCCAGAGGATTACAAAAATAAAAATAAAATAAAAATAACCAGAAAACAGAAGAAGAAGCGAGCTGATGTTTATAAGAGCGTCATCTTCGGTTTGCGCCGCGTCGTGTAGGTGGGAGGATCTGATGTGTACTCTAAGTAAATTGGCCTTTCTCGAAACCTTGGCACATCCATCTGCTGCCTCGTGGCTGGGCTCCAGATGCACCGCAATGAGCAAAAATTTAATTTACGGTGATTAGGAATGGTTCGGTGAAGATGCAGAGGGGGGGAAGCGGGAGATGAAGAGATTTGTTTGCGTACCTCTTGTTTGAAGTCCTGGTCCACAGGTCTCTTGTGCACCGGGAGTGTTTTGTCTGAGAAACCACGGGACCAGCTGGCACTTCCTCCATTTGTGGGTTTTCCACCTACAATGAGTCAGAACAGTTATGTTAATGCAACAATACTATTGACTATTATCTGGCACTGCGGCATGTCAGAGAGTCTGCATGTCATAAAGTACTCCGTATACAGTATTACTGTATGCAAACGGGCCGTGCTTTCTGTTGTAGGTAGTCCCCAAAGTCCTATTTTGAGCAAAAATACCTGCACAAGAAAGTGTAATTCATTGCTGAAGGTAAACAAATGGCTAAACCCTCCAACACAGGATGACTCCACAGTATTTGTCAATGAAGTAAGGTGCGTAAAGAGTGACCTTGAGACGGCAGAGTGATGTAAAAAATCTGATGTTTAGATTCTTATTTTTCATGCAGTACCACGAAGGAGGCACCTGATCAATTCAAAACTCTTTTTGCAGCTTTACAGCCAAACCGAACATGCAGCCAGAGTCCTGCAGCAGATGGCCCGGTCCCCACAGAGCCCTGATGTCAACATCATAGAGTCAATCTGGGATTACATGAAGAGGCAGACACTGAGACAGACTAAATCCACAAAAGAACGCCAGCGTAACAAGGTGAACCGCTTTAAAGGCACAGAGCAGACACGCCAAACGCCCATCTGACTTTCTTTAGTTTGTTTTTTTTTGGCCTTTTGTGTAAAATTAGTTAATGACAGAACAAATGCCATTGCTTTAATCTAGTTTATCCTCACTTTAATTGTAGTACCTGAAGCCTTTGTGCAGCGCTGCCAGAGCCTCTAAGCTACCAGGGAGGTATAGATGGGTGACAGATTAAAGAAAAACTAGTATAAAGAGCTTTAGCAAGTTGCTGGAGTCTCACTACTGGATCCAACACCATTCCTCCCAAAGATATTGTGGTGATGGAGGCGGTCTGTCCAACACGTTGGTCCAACATCTCCAATAAAGGTTCTCCTGGGTTTGTTGGGTTCTTCATGCACAGGTGGAAGCATCAGGTGTTGTTGATATACATTAAAAAACAAACTTAAGAGCTGCCACTTTAGCGCAGCTTTTAATTGATTTTTGATATTTATCGTCTCTTTTTAAATTAATGGTATTTGTTTATTCATATATACAGTTTAGTGCATTTTATTAGACTTTAATCATTTCTCTTTTATCGCCGTCTTATTTTGCAGTTCAGATTATTATTATTTTTTTTAACATATACTGCCTTGGGTTTTTTCTTCATTGCATATATTTATGATAGCGATTTCTCACTTCACCAGTCCTCGCCTTTAATGAGTCTTTCATTCATAACATAATGTTTACCAGGAGACTGGGAGAGGAGGACTGTTTAAACTGCTTTCATTTCCTTATTCCTTTTGTTCTGCCGAGCACTTTGTGTTGAATTCACAAACACACAAATCATGTCAGATTAATTTACTGATTGGCCTTCTTTCATTTTTAAATTAGTCACGTAATTTAATTGCCATTAGCATATTATATTAAAGGGCTTAACCTAAACATTACAGTACATCAGGTACATTTGCACAATAAATCTTAACCTTAATGTTTAAATGAATCTGGTGAATATGTATAGAAAATAATACTATAGGTTTGGAAAACACATAATACTGTAACTTCAATTAAATTAGTCAGTTGAACATATATTGAATGTGATGACGTAGGATCCTAACCTTCATTTTTAGTTGTGCATATCTGTTTAATAAATAATATTGTCGGATCTCAACCCTAATATTTTAATCAGTCAGGAACATGTGCAACATTAGTTTTATTTCTATATTGGGAAGCGCTGTGGGCCGATTTATTTTATCCTTAAAGCTACATTAGCGAGAAATCATCTGCATTTCGTTCATTTATTCTACTTGTTCTCATATCCTGTACAAGACTAACTTAGTTTCTTTTCTTGTACTTTATATGTCAAAGAAATTAAACTTGTAAAGCAAATACTGGCGCTACAACATACAGTTTAGTTATAACACCAAGCTAACGTCTGACGGCTAACCGTTAGCTGCTAACGGTCACTGACAACATCAATGACGCTATAACGCTAGCTGCTTAAGCTAGCATTAGGATGAACTACTGAAAAGTATAAAAACTCCAGAAATAATTTTGAGGTTTCATGGTTACGAGTTTAAAACGCTAATTGTAGAACTAAAAAGCTCATCTGGTAAACTCTAGGGCTGGACCCGAATATCCGGGATAGCAATTTTAATCTCCGAATATTCCCGCCGCCGTCATTATTCGTCATTTATTGGGCCGAATATCCGGAGACCAGAAATTGCTATTCGGACCAGCCCTAGTAAACTCCAACTGTTTTTTTCATGATATAATCAAAGTTACCGACCACCTGCTAGCTACCTGCTAGCCACCTGCTAGCCACCTGCTAGTTACCTGCCCAAAACGATGCGGTCGCTTAGATCGTCTATCTGAGAGAAGAGTGCTTGTTAAAAAACACACTTTCACTTATTTTCTCTACAGACTGCATTCAAACCGTACGTCTTCCTACACATGAGCATCTTAAACAGAATTATTTTAACGCCCCGTATCGACCCTGTTCATCACAAGAAGCAGCAGCAGCTCAAGGTTATGTTGTTGTATAAAGAAAATGATTGCTAGTATTGTTGTAAGATTAAGTCTCGCAAAAGCTAATCATTGAACTAAACAGATTGGATTACAGGACTTCTCCCTCTCAATACAGCTCCTTATAAAGTAATTGCTGTTCCATTCTTCGTCATTAACCGGGTCATTTTGGACCAAAGACTTTGATAAAAACAAATTGAATACAGCACAAACATACATACCTAACAGACTGGAAAGAAAATGATGCAGAAAACTGTATACTTTATTTAATATTGCAATTTCATGTAATTAGCTACACCATAACCCAGCCTTGTGCTGTTTAGTGTGCTGATTAACACAGCGTTAACGAGAAAGTCCATAAATAACCCATACGGCTTTGAAAGGTGCGAGGAGAAAATCAGACTAACACGACGTGCAGGTGCTGAGACAACGTGTTTCCTCACATCATAATTTAATCATCAACAATCTACAGTAAGAGAATTCTGGGCTGCTCAAGACCAGCTTTGGGCTTCTTTTGTATTTTGGCCTTCAGGGGCTGTAATGGAAACACAATGGCAGGTCTTCAATAGGGTGGAAAGGTGAGACTGAACCATCAGGGTCTAAGCCGAAAACAGCTATGTTAGGAGCCTTCCAACGCAATTAGCCAGAGTTAGGAATCAGACCTGAGAGATTTGGGATGACTGCATTTTTACCTGAACCCTGGACAGATTTTGGGGACCTCGCAGTCCTTCTCCTCCTCAAGCACCTCTGGACAGTCCTGCCCTCCGTTGGACGGCATCTGGATGATGAGACGTTTCCTCGATTGCTTTTTCTTCACGGCGTTACCAGCTGAACACACACGGACAGTTATTGAATTAAAATAAGAAACGTCTGGATGGGTAAGTGATGAGAAAAATGTCAAAATGATAAGCTGGGCTGCTCTGTTAATAGTCCTTGAAGAATGGACTTGGAGACGACCACTGCCAAATCTAATTGGACAGCCATCATAGACGGCACGCACATCGATTACCGGGGATATCAAGCCAACAAACGATAATGCAGAAAAATCCCATTAGACCTTGGAATTGACTCAGATTAAATTTATGGTATTTACATGTGTGGAGATGCCCTGAAATAGTTCATTAAGATTTAACGTGCCTCTGGATGGTCCTAAAGCCCGCTTCAAACCTGCCTCATGTGGGCAGCTTGTAATTCTCTGCACAAGGTGAAGATATCAGCAGCATCAAATTAAAATGCACCGCCGTCGGTATCACATGCTCAGACTGGAGAGATTTATGCCACCGTGTCACACAAAGAGGTCGTCAAAACGTGCACGATAGTGATTTCCAGTCGTAAATCGATTTAATGGATTCGGCGCCACTCGACAGCTCGGCCAATGGCTGCCCGACAAAGGTGACCCCACGTGAAAATGTTGTTCTTCTGCTACACGAACGCGACAACGCCGCGGACTTGTTGACACTCGTAGCCACGGGCGAGTCGGCTTGCCAGGCGCACTAAAAGAGGTTGGCCCAGAGGTTGTCTTACATGCCAATCTGTCAAATTAATTATCTGTAACGAGACGCGAGTGCATGTGTTTATGTGGCAGTCGATGCGCCTGGCTCAGCCCGACACTGGAGTCCTTCCACACAGTGCCTCTGTGTAAACCCCTGGACTGATACAGCGCCGTGGCAGTTATTTCATTATCACCTTTTTTATGATCAGATTCATATCATTACTGTAACCTGCAGGTATGATTGCAAATAATATGTGCGCCTTCCTGTAAATGCTATTTTTTTAATTAAGTGATGTAAAACTACCAAAGCCAGACTAATAATGGAAATAAAACACCTGAAAGTTTATCAAACAGTGTTCCCCTCTCAGTTATCTATACGAGGCAGTCAGCAAAGTCACATCTCCTTGCAGGCGATGAAGTTTATGTCACCTGTTGTGTATAAATATATTATATCATGTGTGAAGTGTCGTCCTTAATGTTTAAAATATAAAAGAAGTTACATATATGTACATAGTCATGAAATGTTTTCTTTTGAAGAAGTTGCTTGGGTCTGTTTCTTTTATGGTTTCACAGGACAAGCAACAGACGGAGGAAAAGAAGTCCATATAAGGATGCAACCAATCAGTGTGATGAAGATGGGCCCCAATCAGTTGTTTTACGACCTGAACAGGCATCACGTGACTGAGTAGTAAAAAGGAGGGTCAGATGTCTGATGCCAGGGAAAGTTTGACCCAGAGCTCTGTAATGCAATATTCAATGTGTAGTTAAATTGATTGAATGAGACCGAATTGAATCCGATCTCATCTTTAGAAACGAACACGCAGAGAAGGCAGTAATTCTCAATACACTGTACCTGCGTCACAGGTCCCCGGACACGTCGTCCAGTCGCTGAATGGGGTCACGATGCAGTCTCTCTTGCAGAGCAGCTGGCACGGTCGCACCGTGCTGGGACGAGGCCCGTCTGGACACCTAGGCAAGGAAACAAGGAAAAAAACAACAACACAGCAGGGCTTAGAGGGACAGTGCTGGGAGGTATTTATAGATCCACCAAAACACATCAGCGTGACGTCTGAAACCTCAAAAACTCAGTCGACTTCTGGGAAACACTCACATCTAACCCACGGTGAACCCAAAGTATCAGGGCAGAGAAAGCTTGTATTTCTTTTATCAGTGGTTGCTGAACACTGGTTACACCTCCCAGGCTCTCCCGGCTTCAGAGTCCCCCCAAGGTCCAGATAAAACTTAAGTACATCCGTTGGCTTTCTGGTCATTTTAAAGCTTCACAAGGATTTCTTTTAAACGTTTTATCATCTGAAATCACATCATAGTGAAGCCGGAAAATCCTGTAAATTCGCTCTCCATACACAAACTAAATCCCGGCGGAAAAAAGAAAACCTCGTGCGCGGTGAGTAGTGTGACGCGGAGGGGCTGGGAAGTGCAAGATAAAAAAAAAAAACATAGTTGGAAAAAATAAAACACAAATGTGTATGCAAAGTCATCATAAAACTACACCCAGGATCTTTTACTGACACTGACAAGACCATTGGTTTTCCCTCAGTGCTTCATCGAGCCTTTAAAAAGGAGCCTTATCATAATAAAACCGTTGAACATATATTTTTATGTGATCGCACATTCACAGCCACATTATGCAACTATTCCACCTTAAACTATCCGTTTAAGCAGCTTTGTGACGGCACACTGACTCGTGTGGCGTATTTTTCACTCCCACTCGCCCACGCCTCCCTCCTTAACTTCCCCAAACGCCTGTTCTGGCATGATGTAAATTGGATAAGCAGGTACAACCTCTCCGGGAAAGTGCGTACCGCTTTACAGCACTGTGTCACACACGACCAGCTATGGCTCCTCAGGTAGTCGTAAGAAGAAGAAGAAGAAGCTGGCTCAGTATTCTCAGTACAGACACAACCCTAATGCTTGTCGTAGACTGTATCTAGGCTGTCGTGAATTTAAATCAGCTACAGACACCAAGAGCTTTACTGTAAACATTTATTTCTGCTGTGGATTTGGGCATTTTAACACGGGGGGTCTGTGGGGACTGACTGGCTTTCGGAGCCATCCTCAAGTGGCCTCTCGAGAACCTTGTACAGCTTTTGGCTCTTCTGTTGGCTTCGTTTTTCGTCCCTGGAGGTTTCTACTTGGGACAGAATCGGAAAATTCTCAGTGCAGATATCGAGGCAGAGATGAAGCGACTGAAAGGGAAAACCGACAGGAAACCAGGAATAGAAGACGAGGGCGCGACCGAGCAAGAGGCCGGATTTTATTGTTGCTGGCTCGCTATGTCTTGTGTTTTCTAGTTTTAGATCATTAGCCCGGTTAGCCCATTTAGACAGACATTCACCTGCATCGTCTTAACTGGCAGTACATCCCGTAGCACTGCCTTCCACTATATATTGTCGGTCTGTGTTAAAGCGGCACTTTATTGTGGGAGTAACGTTTTATTTTCAAGCTGTTTGCGATTCAATATCCTAATGTGAAGAGGGTGAATTGAATCACAAGTGCCAGCGCCTGTGCCTGCACGCAGTAAAATAACTGGTTTGAGTTGAGGTAGTGACTTTTACTGCTCCAAGGCAGAGTCCAGCTGAATTTAATGCACCTGATCCTGTAATTACAACTCACTGGCACTAATTAGTAAAAGTTAAGCTGGGTTGCTTTAAACTGTAGATTGTATAAAAGGTGACGGCAGCTTCTGGAAGTGGACTTGGAAGCGCAGGTCTACGAGGAACTGACCCCACTTCTCTCTTGATTCGTCGCCTCAGTCGGCATTTATGTTCTCAATTGCCAAGTTTAAGACTTTTTAAATACAGCATTTGTAAATCTCAACAAGCAAACACTGCACTGAAATACAGATGCACTTTCCAAACTTTAATCCAAATGACTCTTATATATCGAGCCACGTTGAAAACAGCGACTGCTAAAAATAAAAGCCACGCGTTCAAGCTTTAATAAAATTTCACTGTGGAGTTTTGGTGCACCAACCATCTGGGTATTGCTTGAATACGCGGTGTAATTATTCTAGGCACAATCTAGGGCAATAAAAACCTCCGTAATCACATCTAGTTTATGACTGATGTATGCCATCTGGCTGACAGCGCTTTGAATGAGGAGATGGTCGCATTCCCCTGCAGAGCGATGCAGGCGTCACACGAGCTGCTCAACACATCGACATATATGTTTTACATTAATTTATATGTGCTGTAGCGCCCAGAGCGCCTTCAGGCTGACAGACAAGCAGCCCTGCGTCAGGATGATGTTTAACTGAATTCAGCTATCGGTGGGTAATAATCCTTCTGATGACACAGAATACGGGGTCAGGCCGAGGTTTTTCTGAACAAGGGTTACGGTTAATCCACCGTCACGGGTCCCGTGTGCATACTGGGCCGAGATAAGTGGGTCACGATAGACCTGCTGGAAGACATCTTGTAATCTGATCCCTGCACTGCACTCCCTGATCTCACAGTGGGACGTTACCGCTCTGTTTCCTCATCCTATGGCCGACTCCCCCGATCATCTGGGTCAGGTTTAATGTTGCTGAGAATGAGCTTTCTCCTCCGGGCGTTCCATACTCGTTAGCGCGGCGTTAGGGAAATGATAGAGAGCCTCACAGGCGAAATGCAACAATGCAGCCGCGACACAAGTAGAGATTTATTTTTAATACCAATAGACAGAGCTAAATCCCTCTCGAGCGGAACAAATCCTCTGGTGTCTTCATAAAAGTGAATGGTCCCCGGGAAAGAAACAGCTGCCGGATGTAGCGGCGCGAGGATACGTTCACATTTTCTGTATTTGGCGACGCTCGCGTCCGTAGAGAAGTGAACGAACAGCTGTCTGGCTCGAGGACGCTGTTATGTTATGGAGGCCGCTGAGAACCTGTGAACCTGAGACGGCAGAGCGATCTCCACACTGAGAACCTGGATTTTATCTTTTTTTTTTAAACCCACAACTCTGTAATCTCTGTAGAGATCAAGAGGCTATTTATAAAAAAAACCCTCCCACTGAAATCCCTTCGAAGACAAAAATAAAGATCTAAATACAATCAAAGTGTTCAGAGAACAGAGGGAACACAACAGCGATCCGATAATCAAGCAGTCGGTATCAAACCAAACTTATTTATGTCTCAGAGAAACAAAACGAACACGGCTTTCTGTTTGTTTTGTCGGAGGTTCGTCTCAGTTCAAACCAGTTGCTTCAGCGTTAAACTGTTTCACTGCAGGTTCTAGAAAAGAGGAAGCAGTCACTCAGAAAACCAGACCGCTGATCAATCACTGGGATGAATTTTTAGATCCAAATAGAAAGCCGACACGACTACTGGGGGCCAAATGAGCGACAACATTTGTTCCTAAGATCTGTACAAAAAAAAGCTCCTTTATATAATTTTAAATGCAGAATGACTCCATTATACAGATGTTGTGTTTCTGTTGCTTATCTTTGTTCTGAATTCCTTGAAAATCTGCTGCAGACAAACAAATATCGCTCCGTGTCGCGGGGGGATCAGAGTGCTGTAAGCTGTTGTGACTCAAAGAGTTATTTAACAGAGAAGATTAAGCCTTTGACCTCATAATACTCCCTCTGCTACCCAACAAGAGGAAAAGTCTGAGCATGAGCCACTCGATTTAACACTTCTGTGAATATTAAAAGAGCACGGGCAATTACAAAATGTTTTTATTTAGATAAAACACTACAGTGTGAATATACGGCTTGACTTGTGCCTTTGATGGAGACAGAAGTTGCTCTGAATACCAAGATAGAGCTCAGAGGACATGAGTGCCGCTTACATTTCACTTTTTCTGGGTTCTCTTTCCTTGATTGCTGGTTCAGAATCTCAGAAGCAAGTGGAAGGCAAAAAGTCAGATTACGACAAGGAATGCAGGCGATGTGTTTACATCCTGTTTCCTAACACTCAGGTGGAACTGTGGCCTTTCCTGAACTTCAATCAAGGTTTTCTGGAGCCCTCAACTATCCCAGTGACGGTCAGACTGTTGGATGGGCCCCCCTGGTGGGGCACCGAGCCACTGCAGGGAGGGGTGAGGACGACCAGGAGAAACACAGGAAGTGGAAAGAAAGTCATTTTAAATGATTCATGTATGCAAAATAAACACGTGTCTGCTGCTGGTATAGAACTGACCTTTATGTTTATTAGATGCTCATACTGTCAGCACAACAGTAGCAGATTAGTCTTTAAGTTTATGTTATAAATCTGTCACAGCAACTTTGCGATCATTAAAAAGTCCATGAATCATGTTTTAGACGATGCCAGAAAAGATCTAAAAAGACCTTAACGCATTTATATGCATGAATTTGGAAGACAGTAACTAATGACAGGTGTTGTCTTTGCATTTGTGAGACTTAGTTCTCGCTTAACATCTGTTTTAATAAAGCTGCACCTATCTGCACATGTAAATGGCTCCAAATAGCACCTGGAGAACGACAATAACAAATGCAAGTAATGCAGATTGTCACTTCCCCCCGATAATTATATAAAAGGAATTTAAAAAAAGATCATCACTTGAGTTTCCAGACTTCTAACTGTTAGTTAGTTCCATTTTTTAAATGACTGGTATAAAGGCTCGTCCTGGTTTGATCATATTCGCCTTTTAGAGCTCAGATAAACCAGGTTGTTCATATCCCTGCATACATGATAAATACTCGTATTCCTGCACTGATTACCTGTGCTGTGATGTTTACAACACAAACTGACAATTCCATCTGACATTCCTGTACCTATTAGTCTCACCATGAATTCATTTGACTGTAATGAGGCCACTTTATCTTACAGTGGGCTCAGCACTGATAAATGCCAACATGCCGTTGAGTTGCCTTATCCACCTTATTGCCTGCAATGGGACACAAGAGCAACATTAAATATTAAACACGTCCTTCACTGTGACTGGTGACAGGCTGTCACTGTCACCGCCGAGCACACGATAAGATATGCAGCCGCGACTGGAGTGATA